AGCGATGCCCCCAGCCCCAATTAGGGCCACATTTCTCCCCACAAAGACCCCCAGACCCCACCCCACACATCTGTGGGCCACTTCAGCCCCACAGATCTGCCCCCAAACCCAACCTTTGCCACAACACACCACCACCACCACCTCCTCTCCATGACATCCCAACCCCGACAGACAACAGCGATGCCCCCAGCCCCATTTAGGGCCACGTTTCCCCCCCCCCTCCTCACCGTCTCGTAGTCTCGGAGGGCGGCCTTGAACTTGCCCAGGGCCATGTTGCTGGCAGCCCTCCTGTAGTAACCCTTGACGTATTTCTTGTCCAGCTCGATGGCCCTGGTGGCGTCGGCCAAGGCGTAGCCGTAGCACTCGGTGCGCAGGTAGGCCAGGCTGCGGTTGCCATAATAGATGGCGTTGCTGGGGTTCAGCTCGATGGCTCTGCTGTAGAACTTCACTGCGTTCTCGTAATCCTTCCCTGGGCCGATGGTGGAGGTCAGGGGAGATGGGGGGGGTCCCGGTTGGTAGCCCCCCTTGTGCCCCCGGCTCGCTATCTGGCAGCCCTTTCTGTTATGGTCCTCCTGTATGGCGTCCTCCTCCAGCCATGGACGCTCTGTGGATCACTATCTGGCAGCCCTTCCCCTCTGTTAGCCCCTTTGGTTCCTCATGGATCACTATCTGGCAGCCCCTTCCCTCTATTAGTCCCTTTGGTTCCCGATGGATCACTATCTGGCAGCTCCTTCCCTCTGTTAGCCCCTTTGGTTCCTCAGGAATCACTATCTGGCAGCCCCTTCCCTTGATTAAGCCCTTTGGTTCCTGATGGATCACTATCTGGCAGTTTATTCCATTCATTAACCCCTTTGGTTCCTCACGGATCACTATCTGGCAGTCCCTTCCCTCTGTTAACCCCTTTGGTTCCTCAGGGATCACTATCTGGCATCCACTTCCCTTCATTAACCCCTTTGGTTCCTGAGGGATCACTATCTGGCAGTTTCTTCCCTTCATTAACCCCTTTGGTTCCTTATGGATCATATCTGGCAGCTCCTTCCCTTCATTAACCCCTTTGGTTCCTTATGGATCACTATCTGGCAGCTCCTTCCCTTCATTAACCCCTTTGGTTCCTTATGGATCCCTATCTGGCAGTTTCTTCCATTTATTAACCCCTTTGGTTCCTTATAGATCACTATCTGGCAGCCCTTTCTATCTGTTATCCCCTTTGGTTCCTGATGGATCACTATATGGCAGCCCTTTCCCCCTGTTAATCCCTTTGGTTCCTCATGGATCACTATCTGGCAGCCCCTTCCCTTCATTAACCCCTTTGATTCCTCATGGATCACTATCTGGCAGTTTCTTCCCTTCATTAACCCCTTTGGTTCCTCAGGGATCACTATCTGGCATCCACTTCCCTCTGTTAACCCCTTTGGTTCCTCAGGGATCACTATCTGGCAGTTTCTTCCCTTCATTAACCCCTTTGATTCCTTATAGATCACTATCTGGCAGCCCCTTCCCTCTGTTATCCCCTTTGGTTCCTTATGGATCACCATCTGGCAGGTTCTTCCACTCATTTACTCCTTTGGCTCCTCATGGATCCCAATCTGGCAGCTCCCCCTCC